AGCATCTTCAAGATCGCTTTGTTACTGCTGCGGAAACTGCTCAACAGACCATGGGGACACACCAACGACACATAAGTGCGGACACCGTGCGTCAACGATTGACGAGCAGACACCTCCACTGCCACAGGCCACACCGACGACCCATCCTGACACCACGGCATCGCCGGCACCGTCTTCAGTTGGCAACACAGCACCAGCATTGGCGCCACCCGCAGTGGAGAAGAGTCCTCTTTTCAAACGAGAGCCGTTACTTTATCTCAACAGCAGATGGCAGAAAGAGAGTGTCGAGACGCCGTGGGGAACCTTATTCGGATGCTTGTGTTGTTTACCCGTGGGATGGTCCGAGCATCATGGTGTGGAGTGGGATTGGTCTTGCAAAGAGGGTCGGCCCTGTGGTCTTCCAGAACATCGGTCGAGGGAGAGACAATGGTGTCACAGTAGGTCGGTACATTGATCAAGTCTCGATACCACACGCCATACCTCATTTGGAACGTCGCAGCAAACCACGAGATTCGCGAGACGCCCGCGCCCACACTGCGAGAGCAACAAGAGACAGCCTCCAGCAAAATGGCATCAGAACCTGGCCTCCCATCAGTCCCGATGTAAATCCCATTGAGCACCTGTGGGACGAGATTCAAAGACGGCTGAACGACGTCCGACCATGGCCGAGAACGGCAGCTGAACTGCATCAGGTGTTCCTCTGAGTGTGGGCTCAAGTGCCTATGGCCTTCATCAACCGCTTCATCCATTCCAAGTATCGATCAATGCACATGGCAGACACACGAGATACTTGTGATGCCATTTTCTCAGAGACTAGTCTTGTGTTTCCCTTTAAGAACATTTGACGCTTTAATTTCAACCTTGATGATCAGTTTTGCCAAGTTTCATCTTTTTAATATGTCTCAAACTTGGATGTGGCAGAACTTGACCTACCTACGGTTACTCATACCTCATGACTGTAAATGACTGCCAATGTTGTTATTTACCTTTTCCGTGCCTCAGACAAGTTACAGGAAGCAAGATGACAAGCCTATGATGTGGTTCAACATTATCTTTTAGATTTACTGGGAATGAACCTGATCGTACAACGTGATTGCCATATGGAACTGGAGCATGACTGAACAGCCCTTTTTTAGGCTGCAGACAAGCCGGCTATTTGAGACGAGGGACCTGATTTGATCTGTTAATTTCAAGATTTCTCGGATTAGAAATTAGAAAGCGTGTGAAAGAAATGTGACAGTTGTGGAACAGAAACAGTGGTACGTGTATGAATTGCTTTATTGTACATGTTTTAAAATAAATTTCCTGAAGTTTGATAAGTTGTTATGATCAAGTCCTGTGACTGTTGTGATGTCGGGATCCGTCGAACGGACGAGTGTTTTCTTATGGACTGATGGTGGTTGGTGGTGATAGCAATGAATATCGATAACAAAAAGGTTTGTAAAGCACATGTTGTCATGAATAAAGTTTTTTCAAACACATTTTACAATGTTATATTTTACATTCATTGTCGTTTGTTTCAATAAGGAAACTGCCTGTTCGTAATCTGTTGTGATCTCATCATCGAAGCAGTCAGGGTTACGGCATAGAACACCATATCGTGGCCAAAAACACCCAATGTCAAACTATTCGTATTTTCTCTAAGAGGCTAAGGTCGTCTATTTGTTTCGCGAGAGCAGCTTATCAGTCGTGTATTAGGGACTCAGCCTGTTATATAGCAAATATCGATACGTTTGACAGTTCCTTTGGGTGATCGATCGGCAGCCATATTTTATGAATTGACATATAGGCTATCGATGTATTCATATGCACGTGTTTTGCGTGAAAAGGCTTAATATATACTCTTCAAAAAAAGAAACTTGACACTGACTTTCAAAATGTAATATAATGCGATTGTTTCAAAATAGGACACAGAAACCATAATTGAAACACTGTTTGAAGATCAATGTACACAATGTTCAAAACATTAATCGTGTCACCTAGACAGACACACGTACACGATACAGTTAATGTCACAGGGGTACAGAAAATGTCAGTATCGGTTGTGCCCCTCTCATGGCCATTTTTGCGACCGGGTTCCGTCTTAGCGCAAACGGGCATACGTAAAACAATTGTCAACTCGTTGCGTAATGGTTCACATACATTTCCCCATATATACACATGCACAAAAGTTAAGCGCCACCCACCACATTTGTGAGCTGTTACTTTTGGCACTTAATGATGACTTTTATAACGAGATGTACGATTGTTATAAGCCGTATATGTAAACCTCATGTGATGCAAAAGTTGTCCCAAAGCAAGTTTATCTTGTGTTCGAAAAGAATATGAGCAGAAAGGAAATTTACCGAAGACCAGAAATTGATGGATTAGAAAACATTGAAAAACCTTGTTAGTCATGTAACTGTCATGATATCAGCAGACCATATAAGGTGTCACATAGGGAGTGCAGAGTCTATTGCAAGACAGAAACGTTAGTAACGTGTGTATGATCCACGAACATTGACCACAGCTTCAACCCTACGCCTCATACTCATTACAAGTCGTTGAATGCTTCTCTGAGGCAAACGGATCCATTCTTCATGAAGTGTGGCTTCAAGTCCAACGAGATTTTGAACTGGGGGATCACGATGTCTGATTTTCCGGCCAAGAATGTCCCAGTGATGCTCAATCGGATTAAGATCCGGACTACAGGCCGGCCAAGGAAGAGTGGCAAAAGCTTCTTGACGCAAATAAGCAAAAACTGCCCGAGATCTGTGTGGTCTAGCATTGTCGTCCATGTAAACATGTCTTGTCTGAAGAGGATGGTTGTCAAAATGAGGGACTACCACTGGACTAAGAACGGCATCTTGGTATTGTTGGCAATTCAGGTTTCCACGAATTGTCACCAGCGGAAGTTTGCAGCCGAAGGAAACACAACCCCATATCATGACAGACCCCCCCCCCCCCCCCCCGCCACAAGCTAAGGCCTTCTGGGTGTTCCTTGGTGCAAAACGAGTGTTACGTTGCCTCCAATTACGTATTCGACCATCAACAGTTCGTAGCAGCATTCGACACTCGTCAGACCAATGGATCCTTCTCCAGTTGGCCAAGTTCCATTGACTACGGGCACGAAACCATATCAGACGATTCCGCATGTGCCTCTCAGTCAGTTCAGGACGTTTTACTGGTCTTCTGGCGTTATAACCAGCCGCTCTGAGGCGACGCCTTACAGTCATCGTCGAGAGTCTCTAATGGGTAATCCACTACAGTCTTAAATCTGTTGTGGCAAATGAATTTCGTCTGACTATCCTGAAAAGACGTCTATCCTCTCTGTTAGAGGTCTTTCTTGGCCTACCAGACCTATGCCTGTCATTGACATCATTGGTTTGACCATGTTTGACAATCAAACGAGTGATAACACTGTGATGACGACCCATTTGTCTTGCAATGGCCCTGCATGACTTGCCAGCATTTTTCATGCCTGTCACTTGCCATCTTTCAGCGCTCGTTAACTTTCTCCTCACCATGGCCGATTTTCAACCTCTATTGGAAGCAAAATGCAACCACGTGTCTGACACTTGAATTTCACTATTGGTAGGGGAACTACAGCAACACGCAAAGCACGCTTTCCTTGTGGAATCTGGACAAATTTGGGTTCATGAAACTGTGGAAGCCTAATTCAGTCATACATCATCAATTTCTGATTCCCACACTTGAAATCAAGAGACTATGAATATGGTGGCGCTTAACTTTTTGTGCATGTGCATATTATATATGTTTAAGATGCAATTTAAAGCACATCTGGACAAGAGGAATTATACAGTATGATTGAGCACATTTAATTGTGTCTTGGGTGTATGTTTAGATGCATGACATATGTAAAATCAAAAATTATTTCTGAGGGATTCTTTGACGAAGAACTTGCAATCACATGCGCATTCTGATTGGTTTGTCGTAATTTTCGCGCATAACATTCATCGATAGGGGGACGAGTCTTCTTGCAGGTTAAGGAAAGGGGCGAGTCGTGACGAATGTATTTCCGGCATATTTTGCACTCAATACTAGCCTTCGGTTAAAACATTGTTCAAATATGAATTATATTTTGGCAGTGTACTTTGATACTATTAGGACTTACGTGTGACCATCAGGGGACAATAATGTTTCAATACTCCATCCCCGTTACTCAGCTGATGTCGGGTCATTGTACCAGACGGCGTACCCATGTTACTGGAATACTGCTGAGCGTGGAGTAAAACAGCAAACATCATATTTTGTGAATAGTTTAGGTAATTGTTCTATGTTCAAAGGTTCAACCACCCTTTCATTTTTTTTTACATTACAAAAAGTCACAAATAAAGAGTTTCGTAGTTTGTTGCGGCGATTTCGAAATGCAGATACAAGACGTTCCGTATCAGAATTGATGTTTTGGTTTCATTGTACCCTACCTCTGGGAAAATCTTTCTTTATGTCTAAATATCTTTTTGTATGTGAATTGGTATATTAGTAACAATATATTCGTGTTAATAATAACGCATAAACATAATAAATAAGCAATCATTGAAATGATAACCGGAAGCTACTGGACACAACGGTCATGAAAGTCTACTATTTTTACCTGTTTAGCATTGGGTCGCTGCGTGACCAACACATCGGCAATATTTTAGTCATGTTTTCTGTCTAGCATGGGTCTGCTGAATGAAGTGTTGCGTTCCTAACGCGACGTGTATAATATGCTGTCTGCCTCAAACATGAAAGAAATTGATTTGACTATCAATACCCGTTGCTCAATAGCTGAAACATTGCCGATATGACCCACTCACTGATCATCAATCGCAAAGGGATGCACACCAACCTGTTCAATGTTTCCATACCAGAAAAATCATTTCAATATGATATATTTTATAATAACATTATCGCCTATTATATCAGCTCAGCGACAATTCAAGAGTATATGATAAATCTCTTAGTTTCCATATATCGTACAATGTGTACTGATATATTGTTACTTTCAATATTTTCAGAATGCACATTGATGGCAAATTCTCTCAACCCCTTGACATACTATCAAATTGGCAGTACTGGAAGGACCCTGATGCACTGCGGCGATGGCACAATCTTTGAGGAGAGTCCAGCATGCACATGTGTGCAGTGGGACCGCGTCGATCCTGGTAAGCACCGCTTGTTTGTAGTTTGTAGCAAACATCCACGCGCATCCTCACTAAAGCAGATTGCCCTTATATATACTCAATTCCCAAAGAAATGAACATCCTAAAGTATGGACGTTTGCTGGCTGAGAGGCTGACAACCAACGCAGGTCTGCGTCTGCCTGGGACATTTATTGGATATCATTAATATCGGCAGTTACATGCGGTTGTTTTGTTGTTAGGGCTCCAAGCTGAAAGGCTGTAGAGCCCTATTGTAATCGTTCGATTTATTATTATTATTATTATTATTATTAGGGCTCCAAGCCGAAAGGCTGTAGAGCCCTATTGTAATCGTTCGATTTATTATTATTAGGGCTCCAAGCCGAAAGGCTGGAAACCCTATTGTAATCGTTCGATTTATTATTATTATTATTATTAGGGCTCCAAGCCGAAAGGCTGGAAGCCCTATTGTAATCGTTCGATTTATTATTAGGGCTCCAAGCCGAAAGGCTGTAGAGCCCTATTGTAATCGTTCGATTTATTATTATTATTACTAGTGCCCGCCAGAAAGCCAAGGCCATAGGCCTAAAGGCCAAGGGCAGATAACTGAAAAACAAGTATTTTTTGACGATATATTTTGCCCTGTTGCTCTACAACCGTTTGCCCGTTTACTTTCAAACCTTGCATGTATCTACTGCTTAAGTTGCTTGATATTTTTTGTTCTTTGACTTTGGTCATTGATCACATGGTTTGGCAGCCATATTGGATTCAAGGTTTTGACAGGGTTTTATGGGCACCTGTCTTCAAATACTATCTCCTCTGAATCCGCTGCATGAAATGATTTCAAACTTTTTGAGAATTGTCTCCATACAGAACACAACAAATGAGCATAGCCGTTTTTTTATATCTTTTTTAGTTGCGGTCATATTGGATTTTGATTTTGATAAAAAAATTCACCCAAGTACAAATACGGATGGAAGCGCCTCATAAATCTACTATAAACACCCATTCACTGGCTTTGCAGATACCCTAGCGTTCTCCACAGCCTTGTTCAATATTATGTGTACTACCCTTGACGACCAGAGTTAGAATTGGCCTTTTTCAAACGATGCTTGTCTCAAGAGGCAACTATGCTTGACACAGGAGGCGACTGATCGGATTGGGTGATCAGACTCGCTGACTTGATTCTTCATTTCTCAATTGCCAATTGCTACGGTACCTTATTTTTGACAGCGTTGTTAAAAGCAAACCATTTGCAAACCATTTGCGGATTAGAATATGGAGGTCGGCATTTAGTCCACTCTGGGAAACTGTGGCACACGCCAATTTGGTAGCGGCAATGTCCTGCAAACGTGGACTATCTTTTGATGGAGTTGGTACAAGCAAACCATGTGCGGATTCGAACATGGTCGAAGTCAAACATTGGTTAAGAATACACTGGGACACATGTCATGATGTCTCACAAGCGGTTTATTACATTTAACGGCGTTGGTACAAGCAAACCATGTGCGGATTCGAACATGGTTGTAGTCAAACATGGGTTAAGAATACACTGGGACACATGTCATGATGTCTCACAAGCGGTTTATTACATTTAACGGCGTTGGTACAACCAAACCATTTGGGGATTCGAACATGGTCGAAGTCAAACGTGGGTTAAGAACACACTGGGACACGTGTGGTGATGTCTCACCAGCGGTTCATTACATTTGATGGCGTTGGTACAAGCAAACCATATGCGGATTCGAACATGGTCGAAGTCAAACATGGGTTAAGAACACACAAGGACACGTCTGGTGATGTCTCGCAAGCGGTTCCTTAAATATGATGGCGTTGGTACAAGCAAACCATTTGAGGATTCGAACATGGTCGAAGTTGGAAATTGGTAAAAACATCCTGGGACACCCAAGCACATGTCAATTTAGTAGTGGTGATGTCTCACAAGAGGTTCCTTACATTTGACGGCGTTGGTACAGGTAAACTCTTTGAGGATTCGAATATGAACGATGTCGGAAACAAGTTTAGCACTTTATCTCAGCAATGCGACAGGAACCCGGGGTCCGGACGAACGCAGAACGCTAATCCGTTTGACTGGAGCCCAACTGACAAAGAAGTTACAGCCTGTTAAAGAGTCCCCAAGCCGAAAGGCTGAAGAGCCCCAGTGTTAGCGTTTGATTTAATATTATTATTATTCCACCGATTTTTGTACCAGAGCTAGCAAAATAACCACTGGCTCGATTTTGTTCAAATTTTGTATGTGTATGAAGACCGTTGGGTACTAGTGCCCGCCAAGGCCGTAGCCCCAAAAGCCAAGGGCAGATAACTAAAAATCAAGACGTTTTTAAAGATGTATTTCGCCCTGTTGCTCCGCAACCGCTTATCCGATTATTTTGAAAACTTGCATGTATCTGCTGTTTGAGCTGCTTGACATATTTTGTTCTTTGACTTTGGTCATTGGTCAAATGGTTTGGCAGCCATATTGGATTGAAGGTTTTCACAGTGTCTTTTGGGTACCTGTCTTCAAACGCAAACAACTCCGAGTCCACTGCATGAAATGCTTCCAAATTTTCTGAGAATTGTCTCCACACACAACACAGCAAACTCTCATAGCCGTTTTGGGATATCTGTTTTAGTTGCGGTTGTATTGGATTTTGATTTTGATAAAAAAAATTACCGAAATTTTACTTTAACGATCATATCTTGTAAGCTTGTTGACAGAAACTATTGCAAGTTTACATGAAGTTAGGTATCATATGCATCTTATTTTCTGTTCTTGGGTGCATGGAAAAAGTAACAACACTTGGTGGTAATATTTGATTAGAATTTGGGACACCCCTGGAACACGCCAATGTCCTGCAAACGGTGACTTTCTTTTGACAGAGTTGGTACAAACAAACCCTTTGAGGATTCGAACATGTTTGATGTCGTAAATGGGTTTATAACAGACTTAGCACACGCCAATTTCGTAGCGGCAATACCCTGCAAGTTGTGCCTACATTTGACGGATTGGGTACAAGGATACCCTTTAAGGATTCGAACATGGACGTTTGTGCACAGTGTAACTTGGAGCCCGCCATTGCTGCTTTGCAGCTATATTTTTGTTGTTGTTGTTGTGTTGTTGTTGTTTGTTTTTTGTTTTTTTTGGGGGGGTAGTTTTATGTTTGCAGAGCAGTACCCACATTATCCTATTACAAACTCATATGTATACTGAACCGCAAAAGAAACGTAACCATGGATAGATTTAGGAGACGCCTTTATTGTCCAAACACTGTAAACATACTTTGAGACATATTAAAAAGATGAAACTTGGCAAAACTGATCATCAAGGTAACAATTAAAGTGTCAAATGTTCTTAAAGGGAAACACAACACCAGTCTCGTGTGTCCGCCATGTGCTTTGATGACTACGGTCGATACAGGGAATGGATGAGGCGGTTGATGAAGGCCATAGGCACTTGACCACACACTCTGGGGAACGCCTGACACCAGTTCAGCTGCAGTTGTCGGACGTCATTCAGCCGTCTTTGAAACTCGTACCACAGGTGTTCAATGGGATGTAAATGGGGACTGAGGGCATGCCATTTCGTGGTTCTGATGCCACTTCGTGGTTCTGATGCCATTCTGCTAGAGGAAGTCTCTTCTTGCTCTCGCAGTGTAGGCACGGGCGTTATCATTCTGAAACTCGTGGTTGCGGCGACGTGCCCAATGAGGTAAAGTATCAAGACTTGATCAATGTACCGACCTGCTGTGACACCATTGCCTCTCCCTGGACCGATGTTCTGGAAGACCACAGGGCCGACCCTCTTTGCAAGACCAATCCCACTCCACACCATGATGCTCGGACCACACCCCGAGTCAACAACACAATCATCCGAATGATGTTTCCCCACGGCGTCTCCAGACTCTCTTTCTGCCATCTGCTGTTGAGATACAGTAACGGCTCATGTCTGAGAAGAGGACTCTTCTCTACTGCTGGTGCTGTGTTGCCCACTGAAGACGGTCCCGACGATGACGTGGTGTCAGAATGGGTCGTCGGTGTGGTCTGTGACAGTGGAGGTGTCTGCTCGTCAATTGTCAACGCACGGTGTCTGCACTAATGTGTCGCTGGTGTGTCCCCATGGTCTGTCGAGCAGTTTCTGCAGCAGTAACAAAGCGATCTTGAAGATGCTGTCGCACAATCTGATGATCCTGACGTCGGGTGGTGACCCTTAGTCTTCCACTACGTGGTCGGTCATCTGTAGTGTTGGTTGTCTGGTACCGTTGGCTGAGCCTGTATATGGTCCTCACGTGGACTTGAAATGCATTGGCTACTTGCCGGCCAGATTGTCCAGCTTGGTGTCGCTGATTTCGTGTCAATCTTGGTAGTGACATTTTTCACTGTTCCACAATGCCTTTTGGAAATAGCAAATGGATTTAATTTCAATAGGCTACCATCAGGAGATGTAAGAACTAAGAACCTCAGCAAAGTATTAGAATTTTGAGGTACTGCATCTTCATCAGAAGAAACAGAGTCTACATGTCTACGAATATATATTTTTGCCTAGAGTCCTATGCAAGAAGGCAGTGGCTCATGAGCCAATTTGTGGTTCTTGGGAATTATGTCATGGGCTGAACCAGCCTGACATTATTTCTTTTAGTCTTCTTAGCTTTTCATGTCTTTATTTCTGGAGTATAGCATTCCTGTAGCTCTGGTGTTGCAGCCTGCCTTCCATTGCGACACCGTCCATGTTGACATTCGATGGTGGGAGGAGAGCAGGGATGTCAATTTTTTTCTTTTACCATGTCTAACCCACAATCCGCTGGTTCTCGTACCAAAACTAAACGAAGACATGTAGGAACTGATGCTGTTTTATCACCAGATGATGAAAATATCTAACAAAATCCAGATTCATTGCCACGATGACTGGTTGTGGAAGGAACTGATGGCAACCAACTCAAGGTCAACCCTTTCGTTATTTCAAAAGCAATAGAGGAAATGTGTGGTAATGTCAAAAACGTCACTCGTCTCCGTAGTGGTTCCTGCTG